CCAAATTTGATTAAATTGGATGAGTACTTTGAATTCCCATGGCCACTATGGAATTTGTATGAACAAAACAAACCTGTTGCCCACTGAATAGTGAATGAAAATATTAGCCCATGTCTGATACAAAACAAGTGCAGAAATCTAGAAGCAGCCCATATCTTGAGATGATTATATCCAAGACCAGTTCCAATTGAAGAATTTTTTTCCCTAAGATGAGTATCTTTTCCCTACATGTAAATTATACCTTTTTTTCTTGTCTCAGTATTGGGAAATCAAACCCAGGGCCTTACACATATTAAGCAAGCACTCTACCACTAAGTATCCCCAACCTCTAGTTATGTTGCAGAATTGCATTTGTTGTTTTGTTGCCGGAAAATAAATATTAAGTGGACTTTGTATTCTTTAAATCATGCTTTAACTATCATGACCAAAATTTCCAAAACTAATTTATTTATTTTCTAGGTGATTTGAATTGTGAAACCTGTACTGTGACACGGGGTGGACTTGTTGGTTTAGTTTTAGGAGGTCTGTATCCTGTTTTCTTGGCTATACCTATAAATGGTGGCCTAGCAGCCAGGTAGGATTCTGTTTTCTTATATTACTGAAAGCCTTTAATATATACCTAGAAAACTCAGAACTTAAAACAGCAAATATATTTAGATTTAGAAGAAAGGCAATGTTACCTTTTTGCTTAGAAGATTTGCTTTTTCTTTAACCACTTTGGACTTACCAAGAATTTGAAAATACCCCATTTATGTATGATATATTATAATGTATTCTACTGTCATGTATAACTAATTAATAAATTTTTTAAAAGTCACAAAAAGATAGTAGTCCATGCCTCTATAATTATATCAAATTGGATTGTTATCAAGTATAACTAAAAGAACCAATAAATTAATTTGAAAATAGTTCAAGAGTTTGAGCACTTGTACTAAAGGAAAATTCTATCAGGAATGTCTACAGCCATGTTAGTCCCAAATAATTCCCATGTCTCTGTTGAACTCTTGTATCAGCATTCTATATGAGCCTTCAGAGAGTAACCAGGAGAAAGAGGCAAAAAAGAAAACAAAGCAGTTTTTAGTACTAATAGCCACTAACGAGAATAGCATTTCCTAATCTTTTTATCTATTTTATCTTAAGACTTTTAGGATTATTATATATTGTAGATAGGTTTGCCACTTGATACAAAACTCTATTCTATAGTGATTTCTTAATGTTTTCTTACAGGTATCAATCAGCCCTGCTACCAGAGAAAGGAAACACCTTAACTTACTGGATTAGAATTTCTAAGCCTATCTTCAGAAAGATGTTATTTCCCATTTTACTTCAGACTATGTTTGCAGCATACCTTGGGTCTAGACAATATAAAGTACTTATAAAGGCCCTTCAGTTACCTGAACCAGGCCTAGAAATTCACTGATTTAGAGCAAATGTGTATACAAAATAAAATTGTGAAGATAACCTGTCTCTCTTAATGTTAAAAATAAATGTAGACTTGTAATTTATCTTAAGAGGTATAATTCTGGGACCTACAACAAAAGGTTACACAAAGGCAACAAAGGCTGGACTCAAGACACCCACTTAATACATTCAGCACTGAATTTGGACACAAGAAAATATACAGCAATTTTCAACGAAGACTTCACAAAGTCAAACAGGAAAATGAAAACAAAAATCTATATAGCAAATGTTACTTTTACTTTTTTCCTCAGAGTGTTTCCATAGGTATCATTAATTCCTAAAATTTTAGAACTTACAAATTTCCTCACATGACATCAATGCTAATCTATATTCTCAGAAAGCTATATTTTTATAAGATATAGACAAAGTCTATCTTTTAAAGCTTCTATCTAATGTGGGATAGTTCTTTATCATCAGACTTTTTAAACAACTCTTTTTAGTATATATGTACTAATAAGCAAGTTAACTAACTTCTAATCCTTGGTATCCTTATCAGTTACCTCACTGAAGGCTGGTATTACATAAGTAAATTAACTAATAGCACATGACACACCAGGGACTCAAATGGTAACTATATATTCTTCCTATTGCTTTATTTTGCTTTCTGAAATATCTTCATAAATTCATTCATGAAGAAACCGTTTAAATTATTTAAAGTAATTTACTGTATTTTTCCAAATATTTCTCATCCTAGTTCTTTAAGCCATTTTCTTATGACAGAACCGTGAATCAGTATTGTCCAACCTGATGTTAGATAATACTCATCTTCTGTTAGCCACTGGCATCTGAAGTATGGATCCATGGCTACAGAATTGGACAGTGCACATCTAGACCAGCATTTTCTTATGAAGCAAGTCAGTCACCACAGAAGAGTACCAAGTCAAATCTTACCCATCCAATATCATTCCTGATCCTATCTCAACTACTACTTACTTCCAAATAGTGACTTAAATGTTAAGCACTGTATGCTTAGCCTATTTAAAGAAAACAGCTACCAAAATTTAATTCAAGTGACTTAACAAATACACTTTCAGCTTTTCAAAAAGCAAAGATGATTTGTTCCTCCAATAGGCACATTTTGATGTAAGAAATGATACCAATTGGAGCAAAAAAAACAAAACTTGCACAAGGGAAATGTGGCACAATGTTTGCTGTGGCTATCCTCTGGGTTACAGAGTGATTTTATTTGCTTTCTTTCTCGATTTCTCAAGTTTCCTATTATAAATATGCTTTACTTTTACAACTAAGGAGAAAAGGCAGACACAGTGGCACACATCTGTAATCCCAGCAACTTGGGAGACTGAGGCAGGAAGATTGCATGTTCACTACAAGCTTCAACAACTTAGCAAGGCTGTCTCAAAATTTAAAAACTACAAAAAAGGGGCTGGTGAGGTGGCTCAGTGGTAAAACATCAAAGTTCAATCCCTAGTACTAGTATCAAAAAAAAAAAATTGTATGTAAAAATTTAAAAGGCAAAAGAAATTACCTGTTTCTTTCACAAGCTAAAATATCAAAAGGAAAGGTTTGGGGCTGGGGACTGTAGCTTAGTTGGTAAAGTGCTTGCCTAGCATGTGCAAGGCCCTGGGTTCAATCCCAACGTGCGCACACAAAAAAGGACAGGGGGTAAAGGTTCTTTGATCCAAGTTCTCCATTTTATCTCCATTCTATCACTTTTAAAGCATAGTCTATATCGCAGTGAAAATAACTAAAATTCCTTACTTCAAAAATAAGAAATACAAATTAGTCAAGACTCCTTTATCAACTAGATAACCTTACTATTTTTTTTAAACTGTTCCAGAATATTTACTCCCTGATAAACCATCTGTAAATGAGTACAATCTTTAATAATGGTTTCCGTAGTCAAAAAGGATTTCTAACATCTATCCTCTACTACATATTTCTCAAATCATCTTTCCAGTTAGAAGAAATGTGCAACATAGGCAATAAAAGCAATATTTTCTCTGTTGCTATAGATCTGCCAGAATTTTTGTTCAGAAGGCAGATACATGACATGTGAACCTGCTGTGAGCTGCCTGATCTTTAAAGAACTGCTTCCCTTAGGAAAGCAGTTCTTCATATCTCAGTCTAGTCAGGGTAGACAGACTATTTAAAATCTTTTACAATTCACTTTGTGTAGTTAAACGGCTTTAAAGGGTCATACTAAACATTTTGTAAACACTGAAGAGTCAAGAGTGGTTTAAGAAATCGATCTTGTGGGAATACATGAAAGAAAATTTTGAAGCACGTTCTAAGGAAAGCTGGGCTATCAATAAAATTCAAATTGTTATAATAGCAGAATTATACAATGTCCCAAATAATTAGTGACTAGACTTTTAAATGTTGTGAAAATTGAGCAAAATTAATAATTTTAGGTCAACAATAAATTAGTACTTTATAAACAAGAAGAAGTGGCTGAATAGTCAGAGTACACATAAAAGTATTCTGCTTCAAATATGAAAAATACTATGCTGACCAAACAGCATTCTCAAGTTTCTAATGGAAGACCTTCCCCTCTGAACCCCTGGCTTAGAAGGTAACTAAATGAAAAAAAGCTCAGGAAAAAAATATAAACATTTAGAAGGGTCTCAAAACTGTACTGATAGCAAGTGGACAGGGGGGAATAAATACTTCTAAGTATCTTAATATCTATTAAACTTTGAAGAGTCATCAGATTAATTTGGTGAGATCCTTAATTTATGCCATCAAAATGCTGAACTATATATATTAAAAAGATAATCACTCATTATTGATGAATTATCCAATTTGTATTGTATCAAAGTAATAGGAATCAATGCTCACCAAAAATTACTGGCACCTAAATCTTTACTTGTAGAATCACCTGTCCTTTAGGAGCATTAGCCACTTAAGTATAAGTCAGTGGGAATGATTTTTACTGCTTGGCTTTACAGGCAACTAAAACATTTAGATTATAAGAAACTAGGTAGACCGAATACATTTTGAATAATAACACACAAAGGCCAATTTCAAAGCTATTGTGAAAAACAGCCTAACTCCTACCCTTTCCCTCTTCTATCATCTACACAATTCCCAAATGAGTCATTAAAATGACAGTCCAAACCAGGTGAGAAAATGTATTAACCCAACAAAAATGAGATAAAACAATCCAGAGTTTTTGAGTTTTTTTTCATACTTACAACAAACCAGAAAAATATTGTAAAACAACCATATGCCACGAAAAAGCCACTCCCATTATCCAGAATACTAAAGCCCTTATATAACACTACAGATTTTAATATAAAACAGTAGAAACTCATGAGAAACCTCAATATTAAAAAAAAAAAAACACAGTATCAAGTACTCAGAAAAAGCTCAAGAATCCATGATCTCAGAATCCACACATCCTAGTGTTACCCTAGATTGCAAATAACTACCCATACATTTTGTCATAATTTTTTCAAAATTTACAGGCAAATCAATGCATCTATTTAAACAAAACTACCCTTTATAGTTAAGAACTTTACATTAACTTTTATATTCTACTCAGCAAGATGTCTATCTGTCCTCCAAATTAGCTCTTATGTTCCAGGAAATAAATACAAACTCTTTATATGCTTTGTAATCACTGATGGCCTGTTTATGTAATTCTAGTCCACTACATGTAATTCCAGTCTACTACAAGTAATTCCATAGAATGTGCTCTTGATTATTAAAGAATCTAATATATCAAATATTTGATCAAATACTATAATTCTCTTCTCCAATGGTTACAATGTTTAAAAAGTATGCAAAGAACTGAGTATCACTCCCATGAAAGAAAAGTATAATTTTGTTCCAAAATTAACTTAGTCTCATGTATTTCTATTAAGTCTTTCAAGCATTCCAGAGAATCTTTTCATATCTCCATTTCTGGAAAGTGAAATCAGTATAGAAGTAATTTGGGAACTTGAAAATGGCATTCATTTTTTTCAGCAGATGCCAAATTTTTGACCGACATGGCTCCCACAATTACTTTGTTACCATCAGTCCAGTCAGTTAACAGGTTGTAGGAAAAGATTCGTTTTTGCAGATACTGCTATGCTGTTTAAAGAGAAGAGAGAGAGATTAATTTAGTGATTATAAAATGCACAAATATTTAAAATATTTTGAATACTTCTTTGGATATATCAGAGGTGTGATTACATTTTAGTTAAGTCTGGTCAAGAAAGTGCAGAAAACAGTAAGTCAATATGATAGAAATAGGTCAATATGATGTGTTAGTTCAATTAATGTATGAATTTCTGCCACCGTATTCAAAAGTTATATCTTTAGTCTGTTATCATTTTACCATAGAGGCACAATAATTAAGGGAAAAAAGGACAAAAGTTCCCCAAATACTAAATTGTTTCTAACCATTAAAGTAAACATAATCAAACCTGAAAATGTCAAACAATCATTTTATATTCCAGAAATCTCCTTTATCCAAATACTAATCATTCAGAACACAATTTTCTAAAAATAGTAAGACAACAGTTTCTTATTAATCATAACTTTTTTAATTAACAAGTAGTGAATAGGACACTTTAAGATACTGTTTACTACATACTGAAATAAACATCTGTTGTAAATTCAGAAACCCAAACATTTACAGTAAAATGTGCTTACACATAAATATGACCAAATTTATTTAAAGCCCTGTTAGGTAGGTCCTAAATACATGCAATTACCATGTAAAAACAAGACCATGAGTTGATGTAAAAAAATGACAAAAATCACTAAGTCACCAAAACTAGAAAAGAAATAATGAAATGGAAACTGAGAAAAGACAGTTAATAAAACACAAGAAACCTAACAAAGCAGCTTTAAAAATAATACTAATCTTTCCATTTTCAAAAGTTCTTAATCAAGTAATTCCCCAAATTGCCATTTATAAAATGACATTCTAAATCTATACTTGGAATTTCAAAACATCCCAATTCAGAAAGCTTTGATTACTGTTTCTCCCCAGCCCCCAACTTCAAATAATGCAGTAAAAGCACGGATGTTAGGAAGAAAATATTCCAAGGGAATGGTATAATTTTTAGAAAAACGAACTTACTGCTTCCAGAACCTTTTGATTAAGACCCAGAGTCGGCATTAACAACAATCATTTTTTTCCTATTTTCATTCATTATTTTCCAAGGTCATGTTAGAGATGAATAAATTCTTTGAGCCCATGACTGAAAGATCAACAAACCTGGTTTTATTATGACACCGTATTTTTGTCATTGGTACTGCACAAAATTATATACAAAGAAATATATACAAAAATGTTCAAGTATTAGTTAAATTTCAATTCAAGGCTTCTCTTTCAAAAAGCTACATTTAACATATTTCATAAAGATAGCACAAATTAGTCATTTCAAATAATCTTTTCCAATTACTTTTGGTTTATGTGTGTGTGTGTATGTGTGTGTACATATATATATATATGTATATACTTATATATATATATATATATATATATATATAAAAATTCAGTAGGCACTAAAAATCCATGCAGCTGCATTGTGAGGGGCTTGTTCCTGCCCTTATATAAGCAGGTTCATTATTCCAGGTTGTGAGTTTGGCTACTACCCATTCATGCTGAAGTGCAGTAGATGATTTTACAAAATATGCTGTGATGCACTGGAAACCGAGACCGATATAGGTCTCAAACTGTATTATCTAGCAAAACACATTTACAGTTGTGCAAGAACAAAGAGTCCATTTCCATAACCAAATAACAACAAAATAAAACATGTGTAAGATAACTTACATCTTTGGACTGCTGGAAAATATTTTTTAATTATGAACATTTCAAAAATAAAAGACAGCAGAAGCCCTGATGTTACCTCTTTTTCCTCATTTCTTATACTACCTTTTAAAATAAAGCAGGAAATGTGGCCAGCAGCTGGTCCCGTCTCTTCTGCCCCAACAGCTGTATCCACTTTAGCACAAAGAAAAACAAGGATGCTAAATACGTATATACTTTATCAAACAGTGATGTTTCACAAAGAATTTATTGCCTCTTACACTGAAGGACATCAATAGTTAAGAGTACTTAAAGGGAAGAGTATGTTCCTTCTTTGGAAAAATAGCATCAATCATATCATTAAGTGGCCAGAACCATTCAATTTTAAAAAGTATTTTTAAATACAGTTAATACTTTTCAAATAGAGAGATTCTTTGTGAAGCCTCACTTTACACTTTTTCATTCACATTTCACAATCTTCAATATCTAATCATACATACAAAAATTTAACCTAAAATTTTAATACAACAAAAATAAAGGCGTTCAACAATTTGTTCATACACAGTGATAGGATAATCACTGTGCTGGTCCTCAAAAAAAAACAAAACATTTCATTAACCATTCTTATTCTTCATCCAATTAGTTAAAACACAGAAGTACGTTAATTTCCAACTTCTCTAATGGTGAGAGATTAAAATCTGTATCTGAATAGATTGTATTTCTAGATCTTCTAGTGAAAACTAAAAGGCAATCTTGAATATTTAAGAGATTTCTGTCATCTCCAGCAAAAAAAAAGCTATCACATTTGTGCATGCCTCAAATATTTATTGTCAACCTCTGAAAAGTTGCTCTAAATTTGGAATTCCAATTTGCACCTTGTACAACTCGGAACTTCCATTCAACTTCACCTGTTTCACTGTCTCCAAACTGTATCTCTATAAGCAGGTTTCAGTGTACAGTTGGAACCGATGTCATCCAAGGCCATGTCCACACTGGGGACAGAAGAGCTAGGTACACGCAAGTCTGAACAAGGGGACACATTAACAGCTATTTCAACCAGAAGAAGCATCTTAAATACATTGACCAGCACAAGTCTGTTTCCAGGGTGGACAGGGCCCAAATTAGATTCCCCTCCCACCTTCCAAACAAGGAAAAAAAAAACCACACACACACACAAATTGAGATGTTGCCCATTAAAGTAGACTAAGCAGCAGAGCATGAGCGTTACGTGAAGAGATGGATCCTTACCAGGTTGTGAGGCGGGAACGACTGTTCTGTAACCCCTACAACGGAGCCTGGCAGGAAGGAAATCACCTAAAAAAGAAACTGTCAGAGAGATTTAATAGTCACAGGTTATCATTAGGAGTTGGTTACAGTGTCACATTCATGCTTTTAGCTAAACACTTAAAGGATTCATTATTACTTTTTTTCCTCCTCTGTAATGTGTCCAGTGAAGATGTCCCACTAAGGTGTTTTACATGGTGTAAGGGAGTTGAAAGGGGTAAACGCGGATAAAGAGCAGATTACTTGACCCTACATTTTAAGAGAAGACGACGCCTTCCGAGCGCACGCTGAGCAGAACTCCACCGACACCTTATCCTTGTCCACATGAAGACACACTCCTCCCGCGGAGTCGTCCTCTTCCAGCAGGTCTTGCTGCTGCTTTCCCACCGGCAAAGCGTAGTCATGGTCACCGGCGGGCGAGTCTCTGAAGAGCGAGGTGGTCAGCCGCAGTCCCACGCCGCTCAGCCGGCTCAGCAAGCGAGCCAGTCCAGTCTCGTTGGCTAAGACTGCCCGTAGGTAGCGACTCTCCTCTTGCAGTGCTTGGACGCGTTTGCCCAGCTCCCGATTCTCGGCCCGCAGCTCCTGGTTCTCGGCTGCCAGACCCCGGACTCGACTCTCCAGGCCCATCACATATTCTTTCTTCTTCAGCCGATTAAGACGGGCAGCGGCCGCCGCCGCCTTCCGGGGACTCTTGGTCGCCGCCTGGTTGTTGTCGTTGCCGCTGCCGCCACCGCCTCCTCCTCCAGGAGACTTTCTCCGCCTCTTTTCCCCGCTGCCACTGTCACTGCCGCTGCTGCAGCCTCCGATACCGTTTAACAGCCTCTGGAGCAGATCAGAAAAGCGCTGCATCTCAGCGGCCGCAGCCTCGTCGTCATCGTCCCCTCTCCACAGGCCGCCACTATCGGAGCCTCCGCCAGATGAGGAGAGAGGCCCAGGCGAGCTAAGCCCGGGTTCCAGGTGCCAGTCTGGCTGCCTGGGGTCCAGCAGATCCGCCAGTTCCAGCCCAGATAGAAAGTCCATGTCCTCCGTTTCTTCCCCAGGGACGCTGGCAATAGCCTCTTCCTCCATCTCCTCGGGCGAGGGCGCGCGCACGGCCACGCCGTCGCGGCTCCCCCTCCCGGCCTCCAACTCGCCCTCGTCGCGGCGCGGTTGCTTGTGGCCGGGCGATCCGGCCGCCGCCGTCTCCTCCTCGCTTGCTGCCGCCCGGGACAGGTCCGGGGGCAGAGAACAGGTCGCGGCCGGCGCCGGGCTCTCACTGCGGGACGGGGAATCGCTGCCCGAGGCTGCCAACAGCTTCGTCAGGCTATGCCTCATGGGGCCCCCCGGCGGGCCAGCGTAGGCCCAGGCCCCTCAGATCGGGCCTCGCGGGCCCCAAGGACCCCAGGCCCCAGCGCGGGTAGACGGGTCGCTGGCCAAGACAAAACGATAGGAAAGGTCCGCGTCGCCTCCCTTCTCGCTCGGCGGATCGACCCCCCGCACCGGGGCGGGGGGCTGGGATGGAAGAAACAAGCGGTGAGGCCCAGCGATGACTCGACCGCGCCACCCAGACAACGGCCAGGCCGGAAGTTAGTCTTTCTCTCCACCCCTCCTACCGCATTTCGCGCTCCTACAGGCTGTAGTATCGCGAGAGTTTGTGGTGCTTTGGGGTGGCAGTAATTCTAGGTTTCTGATGATGTCATAATAACAGCGGTAAAAGCGATAAACCCCAGATCTGTTCCTCCGAATTAAATAGTACTTCCCAATAGCCAGACTCAACAATTTAACGTTTAACGTATTGTTATATTTGATTTATTTACATATAAATGTTTATAAGCAATAAATGCATACATTTACACACACATATACACACATATACTTTTCCTCTGTATCACCCCTAAATTGCAAAGACACCACACCCCAAAATACGTCAGTATGCGTCTTTAAAAATAAGAACATTCTCCTTCATAAACATAATGTTATTTAATCAAATTCTGAGGAAATTAACAATCATTTACTAATATTATCTCTTCCATGGGCCTTATTCAGATATCCTCATTGGTTCTTAGAATTTCTAATTTTGTATAGTAGATATTTTCTTTTGAGCCAGGATCTAATCAGGAGTCATTTACTGCATTTAGTTAGAGGTTTGTTTTGTTTTGTTTCATTTCTCAAACTTGAACAAGTCTCCCTATTTATTTAGCTTTTCTAAACATTAGTTATTTGAAAAAGACATGTTAGTAGTGTTAGACCAGTAGGCAAGAAAAGACCACTGACTCCAATTAAAATCAAATTAAAGCAAGCTTATTATTTCCACCAGCCTGATGCTTCTTCCAACAAAAACCATGGGAACAAGATAGCAGCCCAACTGTCTTGCAGCCCAGCTTTATAGCCCAGAAAGTTACACAAAATGGGGGTTACAGATAACAAAAATCTGAGGAGCATAACACAAAGGCTAGTTTATATTTTTGCTGGCCTCACCATCAGAATTTATGAAGGTCATTAGCGCCTCAGAGAGGGTCTTATCTGGCCAGGGAAGGCCAAGATTTTCACTAAAGTTTCAGAGAGGGCTGCTATCTGGTCAGAGACAGCCAGGCATGGGTGAGTTCAAGGCAAGAGCAGGCATTCCAAGCAAGTTCAGAATTTGCAGTAATTTATAGTAAAGCTGAAATTAGCTTTTCATGTCTTTGTGGTGAGATGGCTCCCAATTTTAAGAGGAATCAGACTGGGTCTATCAAGTAGTTTTGAATAATACACCATATTCTAGATTATCCCCCATGATGGTGTTTATCTTTTTTCTCAAGCTTCATAAAAGATTTAAGATTCAAAGCAGTTTATAAATGCATTAGAATATAGGTGAAACAAAGCAATTCATGTGTTTTAAAAAGCCAATAAAATATAGATGAAATAGTAAGATAAGGATTTAGAAAAGAAGGAAAAATTAGTATTAGAATAGAATGGACACAGACCTCACATAATTACTCTATTTGGGCTCAAAATAAATTGAGCTTCCTGGCAGTCCAAGTAAAAAAGAGAAAGACACATTCCTTTGTTCACATGTGAAACACACATAAAACTTGTAACCTCTTTTCTAGTTCTTAGGTCTTGAAGGATAAGGTAGCAGCTTTATAAAAGTATCATCTGCTTTATAAAAGCAAGTTTTGGGAAAGCTGTATACTGATAGATTCCAAATATCCAGAAATGTGCCTGGCACAGCATAAACTTCAACAAATATTTGTTGAGTGAATGAAAGAGGAAGGGCTACAGTTTTGGCTGAAGGACTAACACTAAAGCTCTTCTGAATACAAACAATGATGCATGGGCAAAAATAAATACCACCTATGTTATCTGGAAGTATAAATAAAAGACTGCCTTGTCCTTCTTAACCTTCCCATTAGGAAAGGATCTGTTAAAGTAGAATAGCACACAGTTCAAGGTGACATGTACTCTGGCCTGACTTCAATACATGTGATTTGTGTGGCTGATAATTCCATCCAACTGTGTTTCCTCCTAAGGTAAAAACCCAACATAATGGATTATTATGTTTTTCCTATTATAAAATTTGATGTTTGAATAATGACACCTCCAGTTTAATATAAAAGAAGAACATTGAAAAAGAAGGAAGTTTTTTTTTAAATGTAGCTTTAGAAGAGGAAAATGCACCTGAAGCAACAGTAAACCTCCCAGAAAATGGTCCTTTTTTCTTTTTCTCCTACTCACTTTCTCCTTCACAGATGTTTTGTTCATCTTTTTCTGGTTAAAATGACCATGGCAAAAGATTTGGATAATCCAGAAATGAATAAATAATTAGAAATCTGCTACTCACAATCTACCCCAAAATAACCATTCTTAAAATTTTAGTATCCACTCAATTTTTCCATGTACAGATGCACCTTGTTTTATTTCTTTGAACTCTACTATTTTGGTATGAACATATTGTAGACATCTTCCATACAAATAAATATAGATCCAGGTGTGTATTTTAATTGTCTATCTAGAATTCCATTTCATAGAGTTTTCAACTTTCATTCAATTATTCATATCATATAGGCTGTATTAAATTTTTAACCATTATAACCATACTAAAATTTTGTGCAAGCATATTAGTTTACTTTTCCTATAACTCTCCTGGATAAAGTCTTAGAAGCAGAATTTCTGGGCACAATTTTTATACATGGATCCTTATTACCTACCAAAAAGGTATCTTTCACCAATGATGTAGGAAAGTATTTAGTTCCCTATCCACTCAACGACAGTGGATTTATTATTTTTAATGTTTGTCAATTTCCCTAAACATAGAAATGATATAGTTTTGTGTGAATTTGTGTTTCTTTTATTATGGAAAAATTGTATGTTTTTCACATGCTCAGTAGCCTTCTAAAATGCCATTGCATGTCAGCTCTTGCCCACTTTTTCTTTTTTAAGTGAGGAAAATGTTTTTCAAAGAACATATTTTGGCTTTTCCTTTTTGACTTACATGAACTCTTTTTATTAAAAGGAAACCATCCCATTGTCTCTTATATGTTGCAAAATTTTTGCCCAGTTTACTATTGACTGGAGGTGGCATAATAAATTGCTTGCTTTTACAATAGGCTATATTTTTTATAAAGATGATTTTTTTAATTTTTGTAGTTGTTGATGAACAGAATGCCTTTATTTTGTTGATTTTTATGTGGTGCTGAAGATCAAACCCGGTGCCTTACACATGCTAGGCAAGCGCTTTGCCACTGAGCTACAGCCCCAGCCCAATAGGCTATATTTTTAAATAGTCACTATCAAAATTTTCTTCATGGCTTCATAAAGGTTTTATTACCCTAAATAATACTAATATTTATCCATATTTTAGCATTTCTTTAATTATTTATATTATATTTTTAGCAGAAGTCTTATCACGGTAGTTATTTTGTTAATATCTAAATGAAATGTATCAGTTATAAAATATGAGATAAAAATATAGCTTTTCAAAAAGTTATCTGCCACAAGAAAATTTATAATTCCTACTTGCTTCATCAATTTCCCAATATACATTTCACATACAGAATTCTTACATATAGTTGGATCTATTTCTGGTCTTTTTAATTTCATTGATCAGTCCAACAATTCTGGAATTAAAATTGTTCCAATAGCTTTATATTTTAATGCTTCCAGCAAGACTCTGTATTACATTTACTTTCTCAGAGTTTTTTTTTTAACTGTACTTGAATATTTAATCCTCCACATTATTTTGGAAGATGTTTCAAGTTCAGAAAATAAAGCTGGAATTTTCATAGAAATTGCATTACATTTAGTCATTTCTTTTTCCAGTTATGTTATGCAAATTTGGCCACTGGATAGATTATTTTTCTTCCTTGCCATTTTTTAAATTGTTGTTGTTGCTACATAGGAAAGGTATTTATCTTTTTTATCAAATTTTTAACTGACTCCCTCATTAAACTCTCTTAATAGTTTTTACTTTCAACTTATTTATTTGAAAATTTATGGAAGACAATAATATGCCTTATTATATATAATTTATATTTTTAATAGTATTTTATTATCTGACCAAAAATAAAATAACACTTCCAGATTGATGTTAAATAATAATGTTGATAACCAATATCCTGTCTTATTCCTGATTTTAGCAGAAATACCTCATGTGACTAACTGTTAATTTGAGATGGGTATTTTTTATCAGGCTAAGAAACAGGCTTCTATTTGTATTTTACATAAAGCCTTAAAAAAAAAAAAACTCCTGTGATTGTTTAAAATAGTTATTACAAGATTTCACTGTTTCAGCCCGTATAGACAGTGGTACTGGGGCTGGGGATATGGCTCAAGTAGTAGTATGCTCGCCTGGCCTGCTTGAGGCATAAAAATAAAATAAAAATATTGTATCCACCTAAAGCTAAAAAATAAAAATATTTTTTTAAAAGAGATGCTGGGAATATTAAAAAAACAAAAACAAAAACACAGTGGTACCTTCTGGGCACTTTGGCTTAAATTGGGCTTTTTGTATAACAGGAAATGAGTTTGATGAGTTTTCCTGAAACCACAAACATTTTTCTTTTATCACATTTGAATGTTTCCCTTTCTCTGTTTATGTTTTTACTAGTGTATTATAGTTATTGTTTTTTGTCAGCTTTTTCAGTCCTGTGACCAAAACACCTGACAAGGACAATTTTAGAAAAGGAAAAGTTTACTTGGCACTCAGTCTCAGAAGTCTCAGTCCATAGATGACTGACTATTGCTCTGAGTGTGGGGAGAGGCAGGACATCAAGGTGAAAGAGTGTGGTAGAGGAAAGCGGTTCAGGACATGACATCAGGAAGCAGAGAGAATTTTCTCACCAAGGACAAAATTACACCCCAAAGTCAGGCCCCAGTGATTCATCTCCTCAAGCCAAACTTCACCTGCCTATAGTTACCACCCAGTTAATTCCTATCAGAGGAGTAATGCATTGATGAAGTCAAAACTATCATAACCCAATCATTTTACCTCTAAACTTTCTTGCTTGGTAGCAATAACAGCCAAAAGAGGGGGAAAGGTCCTTGCCTCGTTTGCACCTTCCAAATATAGCTGCAGAGGAGGCTGGCAAATATAATTT